ACCTGGTGGCTTAGTAATAATGAATTGTGCTGCTAACTGTATAGTTTTAATCAAACAGGTGCTCCACAGGAGAAAGGTCAGCAGTCACCTCTTGTTCAATTTACAGCCTCTGAAAACCTGCTGGAAAGTCAGCTATGATAAGTCAGTTCTGACTCAATGGCACATAACAAAAACAAAAGTCTTCGTGGTTATTAGAGAATTTTCCTCAACTGTGAAGAGGGAGAGGTTTGCAAAGGTAGGAACAGGGGTAAAATTGAGTAAAAAGCACATGACAGCTGTGGGAGTTATAGGATCTAAAGGTTATCAGATCCTTGACTACCTCCAGACATTACATATAAAAAAGTGCTGTTGTAGCTCAGAATTGCTGGGGTGCTCAGCACTGCTATAAGATCAAGCAGCCACTGGGTAGTAGATGGAATATCCTAGCTAGGATGAATTTTTTTAAAATTTTCTATTGGATTGCATACAAAACTCATATACATTATTTCATTCATATACAGTGTGTATTGCCACTATAATTCAAATATATGCACCAATAACTAGAGACAAAAGAAAGAAATTGGAGATTTCTACCAACTTTTGCAGTTAAATCAACTGAATATGCAATCAAGATGCATTAATAATAATGGGTGACTGGAAAGCAAAACTGGAATCAGGGAAGAAGGATCAATAGCTGGAAAACTTGGCTTGGTGACAGAAATGAAACTGGAGGTAAAATGATAGAATTCTGTAAATGGAATTATTTATTCATTGTAAATACTTTATATAAGAAACATACACGTAGGCTATACACATGGATTTCACCTGATGCTAATCACAGGAATCAGACTGATTACAACTGTGGAAATAATCGCTGGAGAAGCTCAATATTAGCTGTGAAAACTAGGCCAGGTGCTGATTGTGGAACAGATCACCAACTACTCATATGCAAATTCAAGTTGAAGCTAAGGAAAATTATATCCATGGGAACCAAAATACAGCCTTGACTCTAACCCATCTGAATTTCAAAACCATCTCAGGAACAGGTTAGAGGCTTTGAACACCAAGAGTATTATCCATGAAGAATGCAAAGGTCATTACAAACACAGAGGAAGAATAAAAGACCAAGATGGATGTCAGATGAGACTCTGGATATTGCACTAAAGTGCCAAGAAGCCAAAACAAAGGAAAGAAATAAAGAACTTAAGGAGCCGAACAGAAGATTTCAAAGGTCAATATGGGAAGACAAAATAATGTATTGAAATGAAATGTGCAAAGAGTTGGAGTCAGACTATCTAAATGGCTGAACTCAGTGTTTCTTAAGCTGAAGGAATTGAACAAATACAAGCCTCAAGTTGCAATACTTAAGGATGCTTTGGACAGAATATTAAATGATACAGGAAGCATTAAAAGATGGAAGGAGTATACAGAATCACTGTACTAAAAGGATTTGACTAACCCAGAAAAATTTAATGAAACAATGTATAAGCAAGACCTTGTCGTATTGAAGGAAGTTCAAGCTGTTCTGAAGGAACTGGCAAAAACAAAGCCTCAGGAATTGATGTCATACCAATTGACCTATTTCAACAGATGCTGCCATGAATTTGCTCACCAAGTTTTGCCAGGAAATCTGGAGGACAACCACCTGGCAAAATGACTGGAAGAGATAGATATTTATTCCCATTTCAAAGAAAGGTGACCCAACAGAGTGTGGAAATTATTGAACCATAACATTAATATCGCACACAAGCAAGACTCTACTAAAAATTATCCAAAACCAACTGGAACAACACATGAACAGACAATTTCCAGATGTGCAGGCTAGGTTTAGAAGAGGCCATGGTACTAGGGATATTATAGCTCATGTTATATGAATTTTGGCTACAAGCAGAGAGTATCAAAAGAGTGTCTGTGTTGCATTGATTATGCAAGGGCAGTTGACTGTGTGTATCACAACAAACTGTGACTAACTCTGAGAAGAATGCGAATCCCTGAATACTTGATTGTACTTATGAGAAACCTATAGTTGGACCAGGAGGCAGTCATCAGAACAGAGCAGGGAAACACTGCATGGTTCAAAATCGGGAAGAGTGTAGACCAAGGATTTGTCCTATCTCCATACCTTTTCAATCTCTATGCAGAACAGATCATGCGAGAGAGGATGGGCTCTAGGAGGAAGAGTGTGGTATCAGGATTGGAAGAAGACTCATAAACAACCTGTGTTATGCAGATGACACAAGCCTGGTTGTTGAAACCGAGGAGGACCTGAAGCACTTGCTACAAAAGGTTAAGAATTGTAGCCTTAAATGTGGATTGAATCTCAATATTATGAAAACAAAGATTCTCCCCACGGGGCCAATTAGCAGTCTTGTGATAGACAGTGAAAGATTAAGATTAACACCTTTAGTTTGCTTGACTCCACAATCAACACTCTTGGTACCAGCAACCAGTAAATAGAAAGAGGAATTGCATTGGGAAAGTCTGTTGTCAGGGATCTCTCCAGAGTGCTGTAGAGCAAGAATGTCAGTCTGGAGATTAAGGTGCACCTGATTCAGGCCTTCACAATAGTCTTCACAATTACTTACTATGTGTCAGAAAACTTGACAATGACTAAGGATGATAGAAAGAGAATTGATGCTTTTGAGCTGTGGTTCTGGAGAAGAGTATTGAATATACCATGGACTTCCAGGATAACAAACAAGTTCAGCCTAGAGAGGATGAAACCTAATTTCTCCTTGGATGCAAGGATTCTGAAGCTTTGTCTGGCATACTTTGAGCATGCTGCAAGGAGGAAACAGTCCTTGGAGAGAGATATTATGCTTGAAAAGATGGAGGGACAGCACAAGAGAGAATGACTCTGGAGGAGATGGATTGATATAGTGACTGGGGTAATGAGGGTCACTGTGTCAGAGACAATAAGGTTGATACAGTATAGAGCAGGTTTCAGGGCTATTGTGTACAGGGTCACTATGAGTCTCAAGCAACTCTATGATACACAACAACAATAACAACAACAACTAGGTCCATTCTCTACCCTTTCCAGCCCTTCACAACTATCAAAGGAAAGGATATTATTCTAGTATTTGGTCTTTTTTGCTTCTGATATTTTTAACATTTTTATTTTATAATGGTTTGCTTACAAACTTAGTATATTCTTTGAGTTTCACACTATTATTCATTCACATTGTTTTTATATAATCATTACTATGCATTATGTTTTATAAAATTAATCACCATTGGACTATGCTCATCACTATCCTATCTTTTCAGGTCCCTGCTGGATTTTACTCATTTCCTTTACCACTTCATTCCACCCACCAAATTGTGCAACCCTGTGATTTTGCCTCTACCCATCTTCACCACTCTGCTCCCACACTTCCCCTCTTGGGTCCTCATACATGTTTTACTAGTTATCCTTATATTTTTTTTTACAATAATGGTCTTATGTAATATTTGTCTTCATGAGACTTACTTCACTCAACATAATTCCCTCCAGTCTCTTCCAAATTATGTAGTATTTTTTAATTGTTACTCCTGTGTGCCACCTTCTATTCTGCTGTGTCAATGTACCACAATTCCTCAATCCATTCAGTTGTGGTTGGACATTTATGGTCATATAAAATTGATGAATAGGCTTTCTATAGATTAAATTCCTTTGCTAGTAAAAAATTATTGGAAAATGGGAGGAAAAGAAAACCTACTGAATGGGAAAAAATTTGGCAATGTCATCTCAGACAAGGATCTCATAACAAAAGTTTATGGAATACTACTGGGCCTCCCGAAGAAAAAGACTGATAGCCCAATTACAAAATGCTCCAAAGACATGGAAAATCTTTTTACAGAGGAAGACATTCAGATGGTCAACTGACATATTAAGAAATGCTTAAAATCACTAGCTATAAGAGAGATGCAAATCAAAACCACAGTGAGATGTTATCTCACCCCAGTAGCTGCGGCAGTTTAGCAGGACACTCAACAATAAATTTTGGAGAGGATATGTAGAGGTGGGAACTCTCATGAAAATCTGGTAAGAATGTAAAATGGTACAACCTCTCTGGAAAGCAGTTTGGCATTTCCTCAAAAAAGCTGAACATAGAAATTCCATGGGACTCAGCTCTTTCACTCCTAAGAATAAACCCTAAAGAAATTAGAACTGAGACACAAACAGAGATTTTTATACCAATATTCAGAGCAGCATTGCAAGAACATGGAAACAACTGAAATGTCCAACCACAACAGCTTCTGATTTTTGTTTGAATGTAACTAAGTGGGTGAGGAGACACTGGAAGAAGGTTGGATGGCAGGAGTTCACAGAGGTTAGGGTATTTATTCCACTCACTCCCTTTCTCTAAGACCTACTCATAGACCACATTCACTCTTAACCAGGTTCTGCAGACACTAATTCCTTTCTTGCCACTGCAGACCTAGGGCTGCTAAAACATCTTCCTTTATTCATTCCCTTAATCTTGCTCACAATTCTGTAATTAACCATCAGTTCACGTGTCTTGATTATCCTTTGAATGGGACTTATTTCCAGCTAAACGTAACCTCTGTAGTGTTCACACATCCTGCACTGAGTCCATTTCTCTCTATATTTACTGCAGTGACCCGCATCAGGAAGAATAAAATTATGGTCATCCTTTGCAAGGTTGTAATAATATAATTTGTGATAATGGGTCTTTGCTCTTAGCAGGAAATTATATTTTTATGTCCCCGAATTATTTCTAGTGTAAATCTTTACTTTCCCCATTTGTTCTTATGACTTGGGATGGAAAGGAAAATTTTATTTATTTTTTGTAGTTTGATTAGGCAAGTTGTTTCTAACACCTAATTATATAAATAAATCAAAATCCGTGCTATACAAGAGTCAAAGTTCTGAATTACATGGTTATGGACATGTTCATTCTTCAGAGTAAAATAGCTAACAATAATAAATTTAAATAAGACATATATATCTTCCTATCCCTCAAGCCAGTTAATGACAGAAAAAGAAGTGTATTTTTGACAACACATTGAGTTACCTTGTACCATACAACATCAGGTTCCTGATCGGACTTTTTAAAGTCATCCATGTCTGGGCAGGAAATCTCCTTTCTTTTAGTGACTTCAGATTTCTCTAAATAGCGGATCCTGCTATTGTAGCACAGGCCTGATTCATTCTCTGCCACAGTCAAGGACATTGACACCTTCATGCAATATGTCGAGTTTCTGTAGGAACAGAGCAATAAAAGAATGTCTGTATTGGATATTTGCACTGTATATATTTCAAGAGTATTGACTTTTCCGTTTAAGATCTTGTCTAGAAATCAGAAACAACACCCAAGCACAGAGCCATTGCTAACACAGATATCTTTGGCAATTAACTTGGAAAGCTTTCTAGGATGCTATTGAAATATCCAAGAGATTAAATCTGAGATCCTGTAAAGAAAAATCCTAACTAAGTGTGGTCTAGATTAATTGTATCTGCCAATATTAGCATTCTAAAAAAATTTTCAACATAAAATTTTACAATAAGGTCACTTTAGAAGATGGATATCAATTAACTCATTTGTTACCTAAATGAAATTTTACTTTCATCTCCCTGTGCACTCAATTGTCTTTTATTCCATCCTATCCTACCATGTCCTAATTTGCCTTATTGCCCCATCTCGTATGGATTCCAGAAGATGTCAATTTGTAAAAAAAAAAGTAAAGAAAAAAACAAAAAATACCACCAACAACCCAATGAAGACATTTCATATTTATTTTACACATTAAGATATAATAGCTATCAAAACTGCAAAGTGTCAAGGACAGCTATTCCAATCTGAGTGTTTTTACAACCAAGTGATAACAATCTTGACAGATGGGATTAGCATTCTTGTTGATGTTGTATGTGCCATAGAGTCACTTGCAACTCATAGAGACCCTATGTACAACAGCTCTGAACCTGGCTTTATCTTAAGCCAACCTCATTGACTCTGATTCACCTACTCCACGATTACCCAAGTCACTGAATCAATCCACCTTATAGAGGAACTTTCTCTCCGGTGCTGTCCCTCTACCCTCCCAAGCATGACGTCCCTTTCCAAGGACTGATCATGCCTTGCAACATGTCCAAAGTATGTCACACGAAGCTTCAGAATCGTTGCCTCCAAGGAGCAGCCTAGTCTCGCTCTTTCTAGAATGAACCTATTTGTTCTCTTAGCAGTCCATGGTATATTCAATACTCTTCTCCGGCACCAGTCATTAACTCTTTTTCTATCATCCTTAGTCATTGTGTAGCTTTCTGATGCATAATAAGTAATTGCAAAGACCATGACCTGGATCAGGCGCACCATAGTGTGCAGATTGGCATTGTTGTTCTTCAGCACTCTGGAGAGGTCCCTAACAACAGACTTTCCCAATGCAATTTGTCTTTTGATTTCCTGGTTGCTGGTACCAAGAGTGTTGATTGTGGAGCCAAGCAAACTGAAGCTATTAACAATATCAAACTCTTCATAATCTATCATGAAGCTGCCCATCAGCCCAGTGGAGAGAATCTTCATTCTCTCGATGTTGAGCTTCAATCCATATTGAAGACTGCAGTCCTGCAGCAAGCACTTCAGGTCCTCCTCAGTTTTAGCAAGCAGGGTTGTTTCATCTGCATAACGCAGGTTGTTGATGAGCCTTCCTCGAATTCCTCCTCATTGAGTCAGCCTCCCAAATGATCTGTTCTGCATATAGAATGAAAATGTATGGAGATAGGACACATCACTGGCATACACCCTTCCAGATTTTGAGCCATGCAATGTCTTTCCTTTCTCTGTTCTGACAACTGCCTCCCAGTTCAAATATAGGTTTCACAAAAGCACATACAAATGTTCAGGGATTGCTATTCTTCTCTAAGTTATACACAGTTTGTTGTGATCTACACAGCTGAGGAAAGGGGAAAGATTCAGTGCAAAAAACAAGGTAACGGGTTTTTGCATTAAGAACGGATGATATTCTTGCTATCCTCCCACACCTAATCTGGTCTTCACTCATTTATATACACGGCCTCAAACCCGTTCCTGAATGGTTTTGAAATTCAGGTGGGATAGACTCCTCAAGGTCAAATTTTTATTCGCGTGGATTCTATTTAATTTTCTATAGCTTTAGCTTGAACGTGTGTGTGTGCGTGTGTGTGTGTGTGTGCGCGCAGTTGGTGTCCTGTTCCACTAGCAGCACCTGGCCTAGTTTTCACAGCTGATATTTAGCGTCTCCAGTTATTCTTCCCACAGATGTAATTGATCTGATTTCTATCCATACCATCAGGTGAATCTACCTGTATAGTCTCCATTTGAGGTTAACAATTACAGCTTGCTCGGCTCAACAATCAATACTCTTAACATCAGCAGTCAGGAAATCAAAAGATTAATTGAAATTAAAATCTGATGTTAAAAGCTCTCTAGATTACTGAAGAGCAACGATGTCAGTCTAGAGACTAAGATGTGCCTAAATCATGCCATGGTCTTTGCAATTACTTGTTATGCTTCAGAGTTGGACAATGACTAAGGATGACAGAAGAGAAATTGATGTCTTTGAATTTTCCTAGGGAAGAGTCCTCAACATGCCATGGACTGACAAGAAAACAAATAAGGCTGTCTTGGAGAGGGTGAAACAAAGTTTCTTCTTAAAGGCTAGGATTTTGAAGCTCCATTTCACATACTTTGCACATGTGGCCAAGAGAGACTGATCCTTGGAGAAGGACATCATGCTTGGAAGGATTGAGGGACTGAGCAGGAGAGGAAGAACCCAGATAAGATACAGTGACTGGAACAATGGGGGTTGGTGCGTCTGAATTACTGAGAATGTCTCAGGACAGGGCAGCGTTATACATAGGGTCACGATGGGTCACAGGCTATTCGTCGGCATATAACAATAACAACAACAACAACAGTCTGCCTTTGTGTTTCTTATAAAAGGTATTTGCAATCAATAAATCATTGAATGTACAGAATTCTATTATTCTATCTCTAGCTTCATTTCTGTTACCAAGTCCATGTTTTCCAAGTAATGATCCTTCTCTGTTCACAACTTTTGCATTTCAGCTACCCATATTAATGCATCTTGATTGCATATTCATTCAATTTATGACTGCAAAAGTTGGTAGAAATCTTCAATATCCTCCTTTTTGGCTCTAGTTGTTTTCTTGATGTTGAGCTTCAATCCATATTGAAGACTACAGTCCTTGACCTTTTGCAGCAAATGCTTCAGGTCTTCTTCAGTTTCAGCAAACAAGGTTGTGTCACCTGAATATTGTAGGTTGTTAATGAGTCTCCCTCCAATCTTGATGCCACACTTCTCCTCACAAAGCCCTGCTTCCCAAATGATCTATTCTGCATACAGATTGAAAAGGTACAGGGACAGGACACATCCCTGATGCACTCTTTTCTTGATTTTGAACCATGCATTGTTTCCTTGCTGTGTTTTCAGGACTGCTTCTTGGTCCAAGTATAGGTTTCATATAAGCATGATCAAGTGTTCTGAGATTGCCATATTCAAGGTTAGCCACAATAATCGTGATCCACACAGGAAACACAGACATTCTTCTGGTACTTTTTGCTTTCTGCCAAAGTCCATCTGACATTGACAATAATGTCCCCAGTGCCACTACCTCTTCTAAACCCAGCCTGTATTTCTGGTAGTTCTCTGTCAATGTACTGTTACAGTCATTTCTGAATAATCTCCAGCAGGATTTTGCTAGTGTGTGATATTAGTGATATTTTATGATAATTTCCACACTCTGTCAGGACACTTTTTTAAAGAATATGAATAAGTATGGATCTCTTCCAGTCAGTTTGCCAAGTAGTTGTCCTCCAGATTTTTTGGCACAACTTGATGAGTACATGCAGGGCAGCATCTGTTTGCCAAAATATGTCAATAGGTATTCCATTAATTCCTGGGCCTTTATTTTTTGCCAAGTACTTCAGAGCAGCCTGGACTTCCTCCTTCATCACCATTGCCTCTTGATGATATGTTGTTTCTTTAAATTTTTCTGTGTCAGCCAACTTTTTTTTGTACAATGACTCAGTATACTCCTTTCATCTTCTTTTAATGCTTCCTCAATCATTAAATATTCTGCTCATAGCATCAATTTATTCTTTAGTTCTTTCAGTTTAAGAAATGCTGAGTGAATTCAGCCCTTTTTCTTTTCTGACTCCAGCCTTGTATGAATATAAATATTATCCTGTTACTCACAAACATTGTATTTCACAATGGGTCTGAAAATGACTTTTTTGTTTGCTTTTATTTTTTTTTGTTTTTTTAAATTTTATTTTATTAATTTTAATGCATATTTACAGAGATTTTGGATTTCCATTCATTCATTGTTGCACTTTTCTCCCTGCCCACCCCTCCCCCTCACTTCACTTCTCTCTTTGAAAAGTAAAAGAGAAACTCTTTCATCGGTATACAATCCCCCCACAAGCCCCCCACCCTGAGTACACTCCACTGTTGTTATTGTTATGTGCCATCAAGTCGCTTGCGACTCATAGCAACCCTATGAACAACAGTCCTAAAATCTTCTCTGTCTTGTGCCAATTGCACTCCCATCCTGATAACCCCAGTGACCGAATCAATCCACCTCATAGAGGGTCTTCCCCTCCTGCGCTTTCCCTCCACCCTCCCCAGCATGGTGTCCTTCTCTAAGGATCGGTCTCTTCTTACAACAAGTCCAAAGTATGTTAGACGGAGCCTCAGAATCTGCAACCTTAATTCTGAACTCGTGTGATAACCAAAATACCCTATCATATATCACTTTTAAACTGTTCTCTCATCCGTTTCAGTGCAGTATACATAATTTTCCAGTTTTTCTCAGTCTTACTCCAATCGTGATGTCAGTCCCATTCTACAACAGTGGCATCATACAGTATTTGTCCGTTTAGGACTGAGAAATTTCATTCAGCATAATGTCGTCCAGGGTCACCCATTTTCAGTAATATTGCATGAGTTCCTTGTTTTTCAATGCAGCATAGTATTTTATTGTGTGAATATACCACAGCTTCTCTATCCATTCATTTGTTGATGGGCACTTGGGTTGTTTCCAACTCTTTGCTATTGTGAACAAAGCCGCAATAAAAATGGGTGTGCATATATCTGCTTGGATGTCGGTTATGGTCTCTTTAGGGTATATTCCCAGTAGTGGAATTGCTGGGTCAAATGGTATACCTATGTGCAACTTTTTGAGAAAGCACCATACTGCCTTC